GGACTCGGCGGGCCCAGGTGAGCTCGCGCCTGGCGCATTTCAAACGGGCCAATCAGCGCCCGCCCGGGCCGGGGCGGGGCCTCGGCGGAAGTGACGTCAGTCGGAAGTGGCGCTCGTCTCCTAGGCGACCGACGCCAGGCGCGCAACCGGGGTTCGGGCGTCCAGGCTCGAGAGAGACCTAGATGTGAAATCCAGCCCTGTGCATTTTCCGGTTTCTTTTCCTGCATCACAAGAAATTCAATGGAATGAGCATCCCAAGAGGTCGAGGTGTCTTCGGTTCAGAGGTGCTCTGTGCTGTGCCCTTCTCTGAGTCCCAGGCACTCCCTTTGGCGTCCCTGTCACCGCATTGTCTGACTTCCTTTTTCTCTGTGATTCATCTTTCCCGGGTTTCCCTCTCTGGTTCCCCCAGCTTTTGCCTATGTGTACATTATTTCACCATTTTTTTATTCTTAGAAACAAGATCTCGTTCTGTCGCCCAGGCTGGAGTGCAAAGGCGCGACCATGGGTCACTGCAGCCTTGAACTCCTGGACTCAAGCGATCCTCCCTACTCAGTCTCTCGAGTAGCTGGGATTATAAACGCCACCACGCCTGGCTAATTTTTTTTTTTTTAATTTTTTGTAGACGGGGGTGGGGGGTGGTCACCCTGTGTTGCCCAGGCTGGTCTCGAACTCCTGGCCTCCCAAAGCTCTGGGATTACACGAGTGAGCCAGCATGTCCACCTTATCTTATCAGATCTTGATTGTGTTTGATCCTAGGTGTACAGAGATGGATAAAATGTGGTACTTGCCCATAAGGAGCAGCTCTAGAACCTACTCTTGTCTTAGATGAACTAGTTTCATCTCACTTAAGCCTTTGCCTCTGAGCTGAGGATTATCAGATGTGCATCTACATCTGTGCGCTCATGGTACTCTAGCCCTTCTCAGCTTCCTACAGGGAATACAGTGCTGGTAAGGACAGTCATCATTTCATATCCTCATCCCATGTTGTTGGTGCTCAGGAAACCACACCCCAAAGTATGGCTCTTTCCCATTAAAAAGTGAGCAAAAGACATGAATAGACACTTCTCAAAAGAAGATACACAGACAGCCAACAGACACATG